TTAAAATAAACTATTTTGAACAATGCATTTATTTACTTTATTTTCTAGTAGTGACCTCTCTTTTACTTTTTAAACAGAGGTATCACTAAGTATTATAGAAAGCCATATGTCATGATTAGAAATTCTTATTGGAATAATCATTAAATAAAATAACAAGAAAAAAAATGAGTGATGAAGAAGATGAAGTAGGATAAAGAGAAATAAAAGAAATGATTGCAATAAACATAAGTTTCATATATCTTTTAGCCACGTGTTATACAAGATCAACCCTATGATGAATCCATGGATGTAAAAAATCTACTAATAATTTTTAATTACAAAAGTTTGTTTTTCTCTTTATTGTAATTAAAGGTTCCTGATGGAGAAGAAGTGGCTAGTATGTATACACCTATACCATCCAATCGAAAACCTCCAGGTATATTTGAATCAATAATTCTGATATCAAATATCAAATGTTGAAATTTATTCTCTACTAATCTTTTAGCACCGGATTCACATATGAATTCAGGAATGGGTCAATTTTCTCGAGAACCACCTATTATGCGTCATCAACAAAGTGATACACCTGATGCAAGTCTTCGAGTATTTCTTTCTTTTATCTTATATCAATTATTCATTTTAAATATATTAATTTTTAGCATGGTAATGATGATACACAAGATGAAACTGATTCTGATCCACCATCATCACAAATATCAAATGGAGCTAGTGGACAAAAAGAATATAAATCATCGGATGTTAATGCTTATGATCCAAAAATGTATCAAGATTTACCTGTTTCAACAGAAGTGAAAGATATATTTAAATATATTGAAAAGTAATTCATCAACTTTTCTTTTTTATCATAAAGGATGATTGGAAAGCTTTATTGACAAGATGTTTGTATAGCTTTGATCAACTAATAAGTACTTTCGACGAGTCAAAAGCTTTTGTCTCATTTTTGTTCGAAAATAGTGAAATAATTTTTGAAATATTCAAAAAATTAGTTCGAACCAAAAAATTTTGTATTTTCACTATTGCGACTCGAAACTAAAAGTTGGAATCTGTATTTATATATCAGCTTGTATCTTAGAACCTAATCCACAAAACATATTTGGTCTTTCAACAAAGCAAATCAATTTTGAAAGAGACTCTTGAAAAAAATGTTTGAGTAAAAGTTACAGCTTTTTCGAGAAGTGTTTTTCCTACAAGACGATCGACTCCAATAAATTTTAGTATGTTTGAAAAGAGACTTATAGAATGAACAAAAACATGTTGACTCATCATTTTCAGGTCTTTCAAAAAGAACAGAAACTCAAAGCTTATGACTTGTTGAAAATAGTTTCTAAAAAATAAATCTTTAGATATCAACCACAAGATATTACACTTGAAACAAAATTAAAACCATTTATTCCAGATTATGTTCCATCTATTGGTGATATTGATGCTTTTCTTAAAGTTTGTACTAATATATATATATATCAACATAAGATTTTAAAAAGAAACTATTCAATTTTTCAAGGTACCTAGACCTGATGGTAAGGAAGATTATCTTGGTCTAGTCGTTGTTGATGAACCATCCTCAAAACAAAGTGATCCACATGTGCTCAGTCTTCAAATGAGATATACATCAAAACAACCAGTTGCAAGTAGTTTATTAACTGTAAGAATAAAACAACACTCATTTGTGTCCCAAAGTCAGCAGAATTGTGGAGATGATTACTCGGAAAACATTTCAGATCTTTAATGTATTACTATGACGATATTGCGTTTTCACGGTATTTTTTAAATAAATGCCGGGATTCCTGTCAGGAACACTTGAAATATTTGATTTTCGAATTTTGATTTGAAACTTTGCACTGAAATAGATCTTGGAGACATAAGTTTAATGTGAAACCTTCAGATCATTTCATTGTTTCTATCTTACGATGTGGTGATCATAAGTTCGTATCTTTTATATCGTTCATGTACATTGGCTAATTCGATATTCTCATTTCAGGATAGAAAATAAATCAAAAGACTTGAAAATTTCACTACGAATTATTCTCATGAAGGTCATTTTTTTTTGACAAAGTTTCAAGTTGAAAATACCGTAAAAATGCAGTATCTTCGAGACAATAAGCAAAAAAACTCGAACTCTTTTCTCAAGTACTCATAACACATTAGGATCTATATACCGGATATTCCGGGAAAGTATCACCCCTGAAAATATAGAACAAATAACTTTTCAAATTTAATCTGTTGTTTCCAGACTGTAAGAAATGTAACAAATGCTGATAAAAATCCAAAAGCTATTGAAGAATGGATACATAATATAAGTAAATTACAAAAAGCTAAAACTGTTGATACGGTTCAATATCGAAAGTAAATACTAATAGAATTTTTCTTTCATATGAAAATATTTTTAATCATTGTTTTTTCTAGACCTATGCCAGATATTGATAGTTTAATGCAAGAATGGCCAACGCAATTTGAAGAACTTCTTAAAGAGGTTCATTATTTAAAAATATCTTTATCAATAATCATGTCACTTTTTTTTCTTTAGACTTCAGTACCATCAGCTGATATAGATGCAGATTTAACAACATATACAGATATTGCATGTTGTATGTAAAAGTTGATTTTTATATATTTTACAAAATATAATTTTCAATTTTTTTGTTTATAGCTCTTCTTGATATTCCTGTTTATGAATCTCGTATTCAATCATTACATGCTCTATTTACACTTTATCTTGGATTTAAAAATTCAGAAGTATAAATACTAAAGAAAAAAAAATATTTTTTTTAATTGTATTTATGAATATTTTCTAGCATTTTAAAGCACTGATGGATGCTTCAGAACCACCTTTTCGTCGTACTGGAAATAATAATGAAGCTGATCAAATGATTATTGACTAAACATTATCTCTCTTAATAGATCTGTGTCTATGAACATATTCACTCGTTTATATTTCGTGTTTATGCTAAGTCTATATTGCGAATCTGTTTTGTTGTAAGGTTTAAACTATTTACTAATAATTCAGACATTTAAATATAATACTAATTTTTGCTTTTTTTTTTCGTTATGTTCAATTTTTGAATTAAAATTATATAAGCAACATTGGAATATGTTTCATTAATTGTTTTTTGTCTATGTGAATTTTGAAAACTTTATATTGAAACGAAACTAGTAGTTTGATTAATACGCAGGAAGCCCACGAAGCTTTCAAAAGTTGTTCTAGTCTAGTAATTCTCTACTACAAGGCAAACTATAGACCCAAAAATCTTTTAATATTTTAAATATTTCTGTAGATGAAAAAAAAAAACAATTTAATTTGTGTATCGCAATCAAGATTGATAGCTTTGAGCATTAACTTGTCAATTTATGTCAAAAGAATAAAAACTTGCATATGTCCTCTATTACTAGAAAAAAAAAGAAGAATTGGCTGATTTGATTAAAATATTATGGAAATATTTAAATTCTTTTTTGATAGATTACTTTTGGGACGCTTTCTAAATATTACCATAATGTTATAAGAAAAAAAAAGCAACAATCGTGTCAGCACTTACGACACATGATGAGTTCAAACTGTAACTAACAATTTTTTTCTATTGTTGAAGATCGAAGTATTAATTCTAAGTATCTTTTGTATTTAGATATTATCGAAAAACATAATCGAAAATTATTCACTTCAATATCACTACAGATCATCAAAATATTACCGCAAATGAACTTTTCTATACCGTCTTGTGTCGCTATAAGATGCTTTGTATAGCTAACCGTGTGTGAGCTAAGATTCAGATTAAATAACCACAATTGTAAACACCAGTTTAGATGAGTTTTTTTTCATCGTTTAGTAGGCACAGTATTACGATCTTTATCAACTATGCACGTATAATCATAATACTGCGTCTACCGCATATCAATTTACAGCCTTTTACGACCGCATAGTGTGTAAAGCGAAAATCTAAAGTACCGTTTTTGACCGTCTGTGCAACTCTTATCATTGTCTTGGAGAAATACGACTCGGTTAAAATGTCGTATTTCACGGTATACTATCGTATTCTTTCATCAGGGAGCTAATCTAATGCTATCCATGCAACAGTTGAAAAATATAAGCCAAACAAAAGAACTTTTGTCCATCATACAAAAATATTCATTGAAGTGTTTGTAACAATAGATCGAGTCCTGTTAATGGTAACACTATCCAGACCGACTAATACGGATTCCGTATACGTTCTATATTTCTCCATATACGACCGTATTTTATCGTATTGTATGGTCTCATATTATAATTGTATGTTTCCGTAACTGTATACAGTTTCTGTGTATGAAGGCAGTAGACGGGCGTTTTTTTCCTTCGTGTACGACTCGGAAATATACGATCGTATTACAGGGCCATGTAAATTATAATATACAGCCGTTGATGACCGAGTCTTTTTGCTTTCGGTATCTATTCTATATACTTTTATGATTAAATAACAATAAGACACGACGATCCACAATTATTCTGACAGAATATAACAAAGCAATAATCGGCGACCTCTTTTGATTATGAATAATAAATCAAACATTTTTTTTCATACATCTTTTCTTATTTAAAATATAAATATTGAAAGATGAATTTGATAAAAAGCTTCATTAATTAATATTTATCAAAATTCTTCATTAAAAGGGACTACTTATCCAAATTTTACCTTTTATAAATAAAATGTTCTTGGAGACTCACTTTCTCTGTTTCTTCTATCGGTCCATTGTATATTTTGTTTTAATTATGGGAGCGAAAAAACATCACATTAAAACTTTTCTTATTTATCTTATTTATTTATTTATTTTTCTAGAATTTGTACATTTTTATCCGTCCTTTATTATTATCAGTTGCAACAATGATATCAAATATTATTTATTCCATTTTTATTATGATCAATTGATAATCGCCAAGATATATAGAAAAGAAAAATAAAACAACAGAGCGAATATTTTTGTTTTTCATGTTTATATGTAAATAATTCTTTCAAATAATATTATTCGAATGAAGAATGACTACAAATCGTTCATTAAATTCACATTATCAAATTGGTCGTCGTTTAGGTTCGGGCAATTTTGGTGAAATACATTTAGGTCGTAATAATGAAACACATGAATATGTTGCAATTAAATTAGAACAAATTTTAACACGTACACCACAATTAGCATATGAATATCGATTTTATAAAATATTAGGAAAATGTGATGGTATACCATATGTACAATTTTATGGACAAACTGGTTCACATAATGCACTTGTTATGGAATTATTAGGACCATCATTAGAAGATTTATTTGATTTATGTTCAAGACGTTTTTCATTAAAAACTGTTTTAATGATTGGATTACAATTATTAGATAGAATTGAATATGTTCATTCAAAAAATTTAATTTATCGAGAGTAAACAAAAAAAAAGATTTTTTTTTTTTTTTTCTTACTAAATCTTATTTAAATTATTAAAATATCTAGTATTAAACCAGAAAATTTTTTAATTGGACGTGGAAGTACAAATCGTCAACATATTATACATATGGTTGATTTTGGTTTAGCAAAACAATATCGAACATCGGATGGTTCACATATACCATATCGTGAACATAAAAGTTTGACAGGTAAAGAAAAACAAAAACAATGAAATCAAATACATTACTTTCCAAAAAAAAAAATTCTAATCGATTTATTTTTAGGTACAGCTCGATATATGTCGATTAATACACATCTTGGTATATTATTTTTTTTTGTTTACCGAAATAAAAAAACTAATGTTTGAATTTTCTAGGTCGAGAACAAAGTCGTCGAGACGATTTAGAAGCTTTAGGTTATATGTTTATGTATTTTTTACGAGGAAGTCTACCGGTATGTAAGATTCTTTTTTTTTGCGAAAGCAATATGTAGTCAACTGTTATTTAGTTTGAGTAACTTATTTTTCAGCGATTTCGACCATAGTCCTCTTATAACTTTTCTCGAAAGAACTAAATGGTTCATATTGAAATCACAAAGAGGTCTTGGTGAGACTAGAAAACTTCTAAAATGGTTAGTGCCCAGGAGCCTCCGAAGTTCAGCTATTACCATTTTACTAAAGTTTTGACTCATAATTCAGTCCATAGATAGGTCCAATGATCCTTAAAATATTCTGAACGTTTTACTCGAAAATGATATTCATGTATCAATATATTGGACTTCAAACAAATAGTCACTTGCTGAAGATATTGATTTCCTTTGATCCTTTTGGGTCGAGATTTTAAGCATGTTCAACAGATTCTTTCAATGATGTCGGTGTTTTTATTGGAGTAATAACGTCGATCCACGAAAGTTCCAATGGCTTCTGACAGAAGTATGAACGCCCAACCGAGATCTTTTCCTTCGTGACATAGCTTCAAAAACTTGATAGACAAAGGCCCATGGACACTAACTGTTGTAAGCTCTTTATTCAGAGTAATCTTTTGAATGGCATTGTCGTTGGCGAACGCCAATCACCTAACAAGTTCAGACATATTTTTCTGGATAATACACGACACAGAAAAATTTAATATCATTCGTCATAAAATGCTAAGGGCCACTAGGCCAAAAGAAATCAACACTTTCTTTTTGGCATAATGCATTTTTGACTCGCCTTTATTCATGATACGACTTTGAATTATTAGTTCATAAGAGTTACTGAAAAAGAACTTCATACCGTCATATCTTGTATGGTTAATGTCAGTCATGATCATGTTTTTGCGCTCGTGAGTTACTGAAAAATTAAACAAAAATTCTTAAATCGACGAACATCACTTTTTATTTTAGTCATTTGTCTTGTCAACTTTAATTTGCTAAAAAATCATAAAAAATTTAAGAAGATTTTTCTTAGTCTCATATCCAGTACATTGTTTAATTATTCATCATAGCTATTTTAATAAATCAGAAATTTTAATTTCTTTTAGTGGCAAGGTTTAAAAGCCGATACATTAAAAGAACGTTATCAAAAAATTGGTGAAACAAAACGTTTTACAACTAATGAAATTTTATGTGAAGGTTATACAAATCAATTTCTTATTTATATGCGAACTGTACGTCAAATGGAATTTTCTCAAACACCTGATGTATGTACAAAAGGAAACATGTTTTTTTTTCAGAAAACAAGAAACTAAACAATTCAAAATAATTTATTTTTAGTATAATAGTTTACGTGCATTGTTTCATAATGCACTTGATGAAAATAATCTTATAAATGATAGTGATTTTGATTGGATAAAACTTTTGCAAGAACATCGTTTAAATCGTAATAAAACAAAACAAACAAATCCAACTGGTATAACATCGACTAATAATACAACTAAAAAAATCGTTCCTACAACCAATGGTATATCATCATCATCATCAACAACAGTTCAAAATAATCATGAGTTACATAATCGTACTGTAGCTTTACGTAGTATATATCAACATCAACAATTACCTATAAATTCAACAAATGCTACAACTGTAACATTAAATGGTGGTTCAAAAACAACAGTTTCAAATGCAAGTACAACAAAAACTCCTGTTATTTTACCATCATTACGTACAACAATTGAAAATTCTCGACCTATACCAGCTAAACGACAGAGTTTAGTACCTGTACGACCAATATCAAGTTCTTCAACACATGTAAATAATTGTAATAAAGAACAATATTCATCTTGTATTGGTCAATCATCAGAAGCAACATGTTGTTTTTTTACACGTAAAGCAAAACATGCTTTACAAATAACATCAACAACATCTAAAAAATCTTAGAAAAATTCGTTTCTTTTTTTTCTTTTGTGTTTTTCATTATCGATACAGCAGGTGTCAGATAAATTTAAACCTGCTGATATTCATTCCTATTTTGAGCTTTCAAAATATTTGCATAGATTATATTGTATTATTCATTATTCGATGTTGAACAACAGTGTTTGTTTTGTCTTTGCAATATAAGTGTGTATTATTTCTTGTTTTTTTTTTTGTGTTTTTCTCTTTTGAATAATCTCAATAATCATAGGAAAACAAATTCTAATTCTATTTCAGATTAAAGATCAAAGTATTATTTATATCCTCCGAACAGAAGACAATGGCAAGTGAGGCAACCCCAGTATTTCAAATCAATCAAAAGAAATTAAAAGAACTTGCCGAAAGTTCTAATGCTATTAAAATCGGTGGCAAGGTTTGTCTACAATTTTCTGTTTTGATCATATATAGAAAAAAGAAAAAAAAAACTTTTTATATTAATATTATTAGGGTACAGCTCGTCGCAAGAAGAAAATTATTCATCGACCAGCTAATGTAGATGATAAGAAACTTCAAAGTTCATTGAAGAAACTTGCCGCAAATAATATTCCAGGCATTGAAGAGGTTTGTGTAATTTTTCTTTTTCGAAGACTCTTTTGTAATATTAGGAAAAAATTGTAAAGATTGTTTTTTTAGTCTTTAACTATATTAGAATTTCATAGCTTTTCATTAAAATTCTACTCACATCGGTATTGTAACTTCTGTTTTTGATATTTAACAGGTCAATCTATTCAAAGATAATGGTGAAGTAATTCATTTTGCTAATCCTAAAGTACAAGCATCACTCAGTTCAAATACATTTGCTATTAGTGGTGCTTCGGATACCAAATGTATGAATATATAATACGATTTTTCTTTATGATTTCTATTTGTACTTTGTATTATAGCTCTACAGGATATGTTACCAACAATTATGTCACAAATGGGCATGTCAACCGATATAGGTTTAGCAGGTGAAGCAGGTCGACGTAAAGCTGGTGCACATGGTGAACAACAAACAGGCGAAGGACACATTGGAACAACAAATGAACCAGAAGGTGATGATGAAGTTCCTGGTATGTTATGAAATAATTTGATTTAATAATAAGTATTTTTATATTTTCTTATTTGTAAAGATCTTGTGGAAAATTTTGATGACGTATCAAATTCAAAATGATTGGTCACTAACGAGCATCATTTTTCAAAACATATAACAGTTGTTTTCTAACATTTTCTTTTTTTTTTTGGGTTTTTTTTGTGCCACAGAAAACAAGAAAAACAAATTATCGAATACAATCTTTTTTTTTCACTCAAAACAAAAACAAGAAAACTAACATAATGTTATGTTCTTTTCGATTTCTACCTTCATAAACACGTACATTTTTGTTAACTATTTGTTCTACTTTTTTTTGTCTGTTTTTGTTTTGTTCATTCATCCAAGAGTTTAAAACATCATTAAAAAAGATCAAGAACAAGAAGAAACATAATGATTAATATATTCTATTTATCAACGTGAATTTGAGATGCAAATATGTAGACATATATATATATATATAAAGTAATATGAGATGAAGATGATGATATTGTTTTAAATAACAAAATTTTCGGCATTTTATTCGACTAATGTATAGATATATGCAATAAGAAAAGTTACATCGGCAATGAGTATAAATTTATTTAAAATGTATTGAGTAAAATCAAAGAGATGAAGAAAAAAAACTAAAGTGAAATTCGCGACTGACAGTCCTTGTCTATGATTTATATATTTACTTTCGAATAAACATGATGAGCGTATGTTATTGTAGTTTAATCGGATATTATGTCTTCACTCATTTCATAGACATCATAAATGAACAATTAGGCGATTGGAATTTCAACATCATCTGAGTTATCCTGTTGTCTTATAAAAATCTTTAAGATTATTGTTTGATTTGGCTATGTAATTATCCGTTTGACGTTTTCGGAAGAAAGTTCGTAGATAGAAAAAAGGAAAACTTTGAGAATTAGGAATAGAGATACTAGCCAATGGACTGAGCCATCACTGTTGTCTTAAATGTTTACTGAACTTTTCATCTGCATTGCTGCCGCGACACAAAAGTGAATATATGACTTTTGAAAATTTTCGTCGTCAAAAATCTGTTTTTTGCATTACAAAATTTTTCGAAATTCAAAATATTTATACAAAAATTGTCGAAATAGTTTAGTTGACACTAACGATTAATAAACCCATCGGCATACATGTTTAATTGTAAGCCAAATATTTTGTATGTGGCCATTATTTTACTAAGTACCTAGTAAGACGATGATTCTAAAGCGTCTTTGTGATTAAAAGACATTTTGACTTTTTGAACTGCTCTTGACAACACTTTTCATCAATAACAGTAACCGGAAGATATGAATTCTCTTTTTTTGAAACTAAACAGTAGTCTTTTAGAAAATTTTAAAATGTTTCACAATAACATAATAATTTTTTCAAGAAATATATTTGCTAATTTTATTTATACTACGTAATAGTAGTATTATAATAGCAAATTGAAAACAATTTAATCCTACAATAATGAGTTTGAAACTGATATTTTAAAAGAGTTTTATTGCTTATTAAGCGTATATAATTCACCATATACTGATGTCTATGATTGTTATCTAAAGAATAAACTATCAGTTCAAGAACGATGTTTCATAAGAGGAATGTTTTAGAATGACAACAGATGTAAAATGTATTTTTCTTTAAAGATTGCTATGTTGTAATATGACATCAATAAACAACGAACGGATAAATGAAATGATAATAACTAATATTCAACTTGTTTCTCTCTAAGACTGTATAAAAAAAATCATAGATTATCATTAAATAAACAAACATGTTTTTTTAACTGAAGACTTATATGTACAATTTCAGGAAGTAATAATACTCTCATTCATCATAAAAAATGATTTTTCGTAAGATGTATTTAGTTCAACGACAATGATTAGATTTAGATACAAGTAAAAATTTCATTACAAAATTCTTTTAAATAAGGACTTAATATAAATCTGTCTCTATTGCAATTTTAATTCATCTTATATGTCAATGATTGAATATGATAAATGTAAATTTGAAAGTAATTCATTTTTACGTATTATATCGATGAGATATTTGAATATTCAAATTTTATACAAAATTTGTTTCTTTTTCTTCTCACTTATCGCTTTTATTTCGAGAGCTCTTCTACGAAAACGAAAGAATAGTAGGAGCAAATACGCAAATATACATACCCTCACACAGACACTCACAGTAAAACGAATCGATTTGCTATTCACAATCTATTCGTTATAATTGTAAGTTGTGATCGTGTATTTCACGTAAACATACATACATCTCTGCATGAATGATTATAAATAAAGGTCATCTTTTATTGTAGGCATTATGTTTCAATTCTATACAACATTTATTCTTATTTTATACTTTACGTGCTCAATTTCGATCCATCCGAGTAAATCTTCATCAAAATTTATTCATAAATCTAATTCAAATCATCATGTAGTTGCTATTATAACAGAAACAGATCAATTCATTGAAAATAATAATAATACCAATAATAATAATGATAGTTTCTCGAAACCACCTGATAAACAAGTATTAAATGAACACTTAAAGATTATTATTACTATTAGTTGTATTTCAGTTGGAATTATGATACTCATTGTTGTTATATATGTAACTAAAAAATATTTCAATCATCGAACAATAAATGTTTCTGAAACAAATGAACATACAGTGCCATTAACAAGATTAAAACAAAATTCGTACTTGTGATATATATATATATATATAATGTGCCACGTAAAACAAAAATATTATCGACCCGAGTATCATCTCTCATATGATTGTATTATGCAAGCAATTGGATAAAAAAAACTAGCCTACAAATGGTCTATTGAATTTGAATCACTGTGATATATATATATAGTTTAGTATTTTTAATATTTTATATGAAAATAAAGAAGGAATCGATTGGTGTTTTTTCTCTGGTTCACTTTTCTATCGATACATTTTCAGTGTATTATTTATTTGATTATGATGTGGTAATTACGAAAATACGATTTTTATTAAAAGAACTAATTAATAAATAGTTTGAGATGAAGATACAAACGAGTCTACTTTTTGTAGGTCTGACATGACCGTCATGATCGCTGTATTTTTCTTTGTATGAATATACTATGATGATAACTAATGACAAATAGAATATTGATTATATAAGAGTACAACAAAATCACGTATATCGAAGTAACACGACGATACGAAACATTTATTGATTTATTGCAGTTGGAGTCTATCAAGAAGAGATAGAAAAGAAAATATTAACATGTCGAAAAAAAAAATGCTGTTTTTGTAAGTGTTTTTCAGCGAATTTAGATGAACTGTTTCAAATAAGATAATAATAGCCGATGAAAAAATACTTACGAGGAAACCCAACTAGCTAATTAGAAGCTATTGAGCTCATATCTCGGTCGTAAGTAAGACTTGGTGGGACTAGAGGAACCGCAAAAAGGTTTGCTTTCAAGGGTCTATTGGGTTGAGGTATGAATGTTCTAAGTTTAGGATCAGAAGCGTCAATAAACTATTTCTAGTATCTGAATTACAACATTGTAATATTTCAAAGAAAATATTTGTTCTTGAAATACTCACACGTAAAACGTGGAGCTGTTGGAAAAATCATGTTGTTGTGTTAATCTGATGAGATAACTTCTATAGAAAAGAAGCATCAAGTATTATTAAATTGATATAATAAAATTATTTGAAATATATGCTTCATAGGCCATCACATACGGTGCGCAATTACTTGTATTCAGTATTTCGTTTGCATGCCTTCTCATTCGTACATAATCTTTCATTGACATCCCGCTGATGTATTTTTCAGTGTCATTCTGAGTCATAATTCACATCAGAACGACTATAAAGGAAAGAATAAAGAGAGCTTTTTATAGAAATATCACAATATTGTAACTCAGATACCAGAAATACTTTATTGATCCTTCTGATCCTAAACTTAGAATATTCATATCCTAACCCAATAATTCTTTGAAAGCAAAACCTTTTGAGGTTCCTCTAGTTCCACCAATTCTTACTTATGACCAGGATATGAGCTCAAAAGCTTTTATTTAGTTAGTGGAGTTTCTTTGTAAATAAATTCTAGGGTGTCGATGTCTTGATGGTTCACTTCCGTCAGCCATATTCACGACTCACACTCACCTCCACCTGCAACACATCCTGGTTCTGCTTTTTCATCCAAAGATCGATGGAAATTTACGCTATTTGTTAGATAGAGCAGTAACTCATCGTATCATCAGATTCATAGGTTTTATACAATATCTTTTTCATTGCATCAAGGTTTTGTAGTACATTATAAAAGAAAAAGAATATTATAATAAATTCTCGTTCTTTTTATGACGAATCTTATAAAGAATAGTGAGATGTGTCTTATATCATGTACAAATAACTGCATAGATATTTCTTTATTATGTGATCAAAAGAGTTACGATGTGTTTCACTTGAATAAAAACATTAATTTTTAATGAAAAAAAAAAGAGCATCTTCAAAACATGCTTGAAGAAAAAGAAAACTACTCCTATAATAAACAAGTAGGTTATCATTTCAAGACGATGAACTTAATAAAATATTGAATACACAAAGCAAGTTGAAATTCACGATCCATGCTTCGACAAGCCCGATCGTTTCGATTTCGTTTGAAGTATTTTCTATTACATAGTGTTTAATATGTTGTTTGAAATTGAAAAGTTTTATAGGAATGATTTTCATCATGTCTATTGATATAATACTAATTACCTAGTACTTGTATTACAACAATAAACGAGTCTAAATATTTTGAGAACAAAAAGGTATGTATCAGAGCCTGAAACAAGGCAGATTTTTAGCTCATCACTCCGACTTTGATTGTTTTTTCTTCACTATCTCGTTAAGTATTTAAGAGATATTTTTTCCTCAGTTTACATCATTTGTTTGACTTCATATTGGAAAAGAAAGAAACAACAATAGAATAGTAAAAATAGAATATAATGGGTCATTGGTAAACTTTTTTGTTATTCTCTATAGAATCAAGAACTAAAATATTATTAACAGTTGTGGAATGCAAATTAGGTCGCCTTTGGTTGATAAATTCTCCTACTACCGAAAATTTTTTGTCGACGGCAGCTAAATCGTGTGGTATTAGGTATATGTAACATGTCAATTTAGAGAAAACAGGAAAAAATTTTTCATGTGCATGACAAAGTATGTATGAATTTGAACAGTGTTCGTCTGATTTGAAATCGATATAAATATCGATTTCATCTTTTGTTATTGATGTTGACTTTCTTTTTTTCGCTTCATTATCCATTAACTCTTCAAAGAATTCTTGCTGTTGGATCATTTTCAATATCACCTGTTACTGTCGAAGTCACTTTCGGCAGATATGCACTGTAAGCATGACAACATTTTGCTGTTTGAGCTGTGATTAATAGCAGTAGTCATGCTAGTTTTAGATGAAGATATTGAACACTAATAAAATGTGTGATAAAGGACATAGCAGGTTTTTGATAGACTGTTTGTGTCAAGTTGGACTCAATCAAAAGGTTTGATGCTGATGTTAAAAGATAAGAAATTTTCTATCAGTTTGACGAAATGTCCTCTGATAAATTATCGTTAGGCGCATTTTTATAACACCAAAGTTACTGAATATTAGAAAAAAGCCAACTTCTCAGCTTCGAAATCATGACATTTATGAATTCAATTCAGCCAAATTACTTTAAGCTCAAATTTCATTTTTCTTCAAGTAAGGCATGTAAAGTTGTTTAGAGCATCAAATGATGTTCCTAGTTGGACATTCTTAATGTATCTCTTGTTGAAAAACTCCAGAATACCTTATATAATTCATTGTCTCAATAACTATAGATCTATACTTTGTATGTCTTCGTCAAGTATTAAAATTTAGCGCAAATGTTTGACTTCATACCTACAAAATAAATATGCTTCTCTCCTTTTCTTACTGTATTTAAATAGCGTATAGGATGCTATTGAACAAATAAAAACTACACCGGATTCTAGTGGAATGCTAAGTAGTTGATGTTTTTGTGGCATGCAGTAATTTTGATGTTACGAAGATATGAAAAAGTGTTTATTGAAAAAATGAATTTATAAATTAATTCTTGATAAAATTCTTTGTTTTACTTTCTTGCACTCAATCTATTTATTTCCCACGATAAAGAAAGGATTCTATAGAGATTATTCACATTTAACGAACAACTTTTATACTTATACAATGTATTGAGTATATAATTTATTGCGCACAGACTCTTATCCTGAGTCTTTATGTGCATATTATTCAAATACATAGTCTATATAGTAATATTTACACTATGAACCTATGACGAGGAAAATTCGGGGATTTTAACTTACCCTCGTCTCGTCCTATCCCAAGAAAACCTATCCTCACTCCGATTCCCCACTTTGTTTCGGTCTTTGGTATGTATATTGGTGTAAATAGGTTATTTTTTTATTTGTAAAAAGTTATGATATTTTATTTTTGAATTGTTAGCTTCGTTTGAACTTCCAGATAGACGATGATGTGTGGATAGTATGCAATAAATATCTTACCATATCTTTCACTTCAATGATGATCTTTGACGTTTGCTAGATAGGGCACGGACGTGGATATTGAGTTGGATGCATGTGAAGAGTTCGTCTATACCCACATTCACATCGATAGAACTACTATTACTAGAAAGAGACACAACAAGAATAAAAAATATTATATGAAAAGGAAGAATATCCTCTTTTTTCTGTAACTCGATTTCTTTCATTCATTTCATTCTCCATAGTCTACCCTATGTCTTATCATCAAGATACTTTGAAGTGTTCTCCTTTGTTGTTGAACATGCTGTGTTTTAAATGAAAGTTTCTTTTTGTTCGAACATGATCAATAATACTGTCACGTTGAAGAACGATTGATGTACATCTTCTTTTCAAATACAAATAGAGTTTATTTATCTTTCTGAGAAATCATTAGCTGTGCACAGTTTTATATTTATAAAATCCATAATGTTTAGCAATACTCGAACGTTAATGTAAATTTAATATTGATTTTCAACATGATAAAATTATTCTTATAGAATAAATTTTTTTCAATTATGTGCTATGAAATAATTGAAGTAAAATAGACCATATTTTAATATAATATGAAAGAACGAAAGTCTTTATCATTTCCCTATATCATACACAAATTCTTATATTGTATTTCTACCATACAAAAAAAGAAGTCTGATAACGTCAGTTATATGAAGATAAAAAAGAAAAGAAACAACACAGTTTAACAAGACTTTCATATAAAAAAGACTAACAATTTAATATCATGAATATTCATGAAAATCAACAAGACCCACTCTCAAGTACATCAAAATTTGTCACTGGTGGAGAAATTATTACAGAAGAAACTCCTCTAACAAATATTCAAACGAATGAAGAAGTTATACCATTTATGATTTCAGAAGTTTATGATTGGAATACAAGTTTAATCAGTCAAGTAAACATATTTGAAAAATTTTAAATTTCTTAATAATTCGAATCCTTTATAGATTTGTCGTGAAGGTGATATATATCGTTTACGTCTATTTATTGAATATAGTCGACAAATGTTAAGTTGTGCTGAACATGCAAGTCAAATAGCTGATCGACTTGATATTGATACTGGTCTTTCACCATTACATCATGCTGCTCGTAATCAACAATTACATATTTGTTTAATGCTTTTATCGAATATTAAATTTGTGTAAGTGTAAAATGCCAACAAACAGATTATGTAATTAATTTGTTTGTTTTTTTTAAATGTTTTATTCTAATAGATTTGGTGCTAATATAAAAGATGAAAATGATCGGACACCAATGCATTCAGCATTTCGTTCATCAAATAAAATTTCAAATATAGAAAATCAATTTATAATTGAAACTGATTTTGGAAATCAAGTATTCAATAAATATTATTTATTTTTTAAATATGAATTCTTATTCATATAGATACAAGATTTTCAAATTTGGCAACAAGAATATATTGAACAAATTCTTCCAAGTGATCATCCGATTATTTATTTATTTGCTAAAACTAATGGAGATGTAAATGTACGTGATAAATTTCTTCTTACACCACTTCATTATGCTGTAGCAAATCAAAATTTAGCTGGTGTTAAACAATTGATTAAATTAAAGGCAGATATTGAAGTAAGTCTGAAAAGAAAAACAAAAGAATAATACCGGATAAAATTGTAAATCTGCCACACCCTTAGGTTTCACTTTCAATGGGTTACAAAGATAGACCACGAAATCCTGCACATTTTTGTTTATTTGGTTTTTTTGTCCAATGAAAAAAAAAAGTATTTCGAGGAGTAAATAGTCTTAGGAAGTGTATCAGTTTTGATGAATCCTTATTATAATTTTTTCTTTTACAAATTCACTGTAAGGTACGATATCTGACACTGTATAAACTAAGTCATATATCATTTTGTGGAACATGGAAAACTATGTCGATCTATACTATTAGGTTTTATTTTTGAATTTACAAAAAAAAACAAGTTTGTGACGAAAAAACACAAAACTAATAGACTTCTTCGAACTATTTAGTTCTCGATAACTCTTTTTTCATTGAACAAAATAAAAAAAAACTAGAAATGTGCAGAATTTCATACTCTAATTTTTCTAACTTATTGAAGGTAAAATCTGATAGTACGGTATATTCTTACAATAGTATTCACCGGTGTTCCTTGTTTTGTTTTTAAATTTGTTGCTTTGTTTAGTCCCAAGATCGACAAGGAATTCGTCCATTACATTTAGCATGTAAAGAAGGCTATTTATCAATTGTCGAATATTTAATTGAACAAGGTACAACAATTGATGCCATTGATGCTGATTTTTGGACACCAATACACTATGCATGTTCGCATGGATATTTAGATATTGTTAAATTAATTTATTCAAAAGAAAAACATTTTTTTCGAAAATTTCTCCTTAGGAAAACAAATTCAGATGCAACATGTTTACATTTAGCAGTACAAAGTGGAAATATTGAATTAGTTGAATATATTATATCGAATTTTACAAGTGATATTATAAAATTATTAATTAATCAACAAGCAGAACCATTTGGTACTCCTTTACATATAGCAGGTAAAAATTCAAACTGTAGAGTTGAGTATATTTTTCGACACTATCATTTTACTAATGAATTTGCATTTTAATATTAATATTTAAATTTCTAGCTAAATTCTGTGATCCATCTATGATTCGTCTCCTATATCATAATGGAGCTGATCCATCAATATTAAATTCAAATAAACAATCTTCACTTCATATAGCATGTGCATCAAATCGTTTTCCCATTGTTCAAGAATTCTATAACCTTACACAATCATCTATTTTAGAAATAAAAGATAAACATGGTCAAACAGCTCTATCAGTTACCACTCATCTTGATATTATCGATCAATTAATTACATTTGGTGCTGATATTTCAAGTCTTGATAATAATGATATGAATGCAATAATGATTGCTGTATCAAATGGTCAAACTAATATTGTCAATCGTTTATTATCTGCTATTAATCATCAATTATTATCAATACTTGATCAAATAGAAAATAAAAATCAACGTTCAATATTTTTAATTGCTGTTCAAACTGGTTCTATCGAAATGTGTTCATTATTATTAACTCATCCATGTATTCGTTGGGATACAATTGATAAACAACGTATGAATGCATTTCATATAGCTGCACGGAATAATCATTATGAATTAATTACATTTCTTTGTAATCATATTCAACAATCAGCTAGATTACAGTCAATGAGAAGCCATAGTAACTCTATTACAACAATAATTGATTCTGATCGATCTAACATTGAACAAATATCATCTATTTTACATTTATATATTGATGCACAAAATGAAGATGGAAAAACTCCATTACATTTAGCATCTGAACAAGGTCATATATCATCTATAGAAATACTTCTTAAATATGGTGCTAATGCTTTAATTGAAAATTATCTTGGTCAATTACCACTTCATGTTGCTGCACAAAATGGACACAGTCAATGTGTCGGTTTATTAATAAAAGTTTGTACAAAATATATGACTGAATTGCAATCGCTTTTATCCAGAAGACAATTACCAATAATGATTGCTTGCCAATATGGTTTTGTTGATATTGTTAAACTTTTAATTTCTCAAAATATTGGAATTAATTATGAATTAAATTCTAATGATAATAAAGAAGAAAATCCACTAGAAATTGCAATAAAATATCGACAACATGAAACAGTACATGTACTTTTAGAACAGGTAGAAAGTGAACAATGGCTTATGTCAATAAGAAATTCGAATAAAAATATTCATCAAACACCATTAAGAGATTTAATTCGATATATGCCTGATTGTGCACAACATGCTTTTGATAAATTCATATTAAAAACAAATGAAATCAATGATTTTGGAACTATACTTCAACGAACAACATATAAATATGAATATATTGATGATTATTTTATGTAAGTAAAAAATTCCAATAGAATTTTTATGCATTCATTACTATCAAACTTTTTGGTTCATTATTTGTTGGTCTTTATTGATAAATCTAAAACCGAACTTTTTTGTGAATTATTTTGTTCTGGGTAGTCTTATTTCAATTTTAAAAAAGCTTTCATCTTCTACTACGAATGTTTTATATTTTCATTTTAATTCTATGTTGCTATGCTTAATACAAGCATTATCTAAAACAAAAAATTCAAGTTTATGTATATTTGTTTTTATATGAGTTTATGGACAATATGTCTACAGGATCATATGAGACAACTATAAGGTCATTACAAATATATAGAGTACCATTTATGTGTAAATTATAATTACATCGATATTTTCTTGAATGATAATATTTCTTGAATGACTGTTGTGAGAATTATTTCCTTGTAATTTTTCCTTATATGTAAATTAATGAATATAATAGAAAATACTAAGTTCTTCATGAATTTCGATAATATTTACTACTACGTAGTTTCATTACTTTGAAAATGAAAGTGATGATAAAATCAGACACATACAGTAGTCACCGAAAACGTGAATACAAGGTAAAAAAGTATTTTAATTTGAATATTTTCGCCTTCCATTTTTTACAGAAAAAAAACTTTTTTATTCTCGGACCTCAAAAAGACGCTGTTTGGACTTTTCTGGTTTGTCATTATTTTTAAGTGTCGATATTCATTCAGTTTATTAACAAGTACACATTTACATGTCTTAAGTGTGTCATGGATAGAAGACTTTTATCTGCTGTGGTTCTGAAGTATAGTGATGTTTCCAATATCTAGGACGACTTTGGTATAGATCTCCGCTACATCGATGACCCTAATCATGAAATTTGCAGAGAATACTTAATTAGAGAAAACAATTCAATGAAGAAAATTCGAAGATAAATAGTAAAAAATAGACAAAATTAAAATTTTTTGATGAAGTCCATTCTCTCTCATACTAACCATACTTAACGATAACTTCACAAGTCAAACAAATCACACATCTACATCCTAGTTGACTGAAACTGTTAGTGCTCAGATATCTTTAACTTTCTGAAGGAACTTCTATAGGTAATGATAACCTTTTAAAATTCGACTTGGTTCACATAAGAAGATGTACAGACTAGAAAAGCTTAAGAAGTTAAAATCATAATTTTCGATTTTAATTACATACCGGCTTTGTAATACTAAGATTTTTCAACACTCTATTTCCTTTGATAAAATAAAACTTGCAAATTTCTACTTAAAACTTTGCCTATATCTAAGTCTCAATTAGATCGACTCATTTACAAAGTTTCAAGATTTTGTGAATCCATTATCTTTAAGATGCAAATGCATCAACACAAAAGATGACTTCTATGGAAGTATTTTTTTGAAGTATTCCAGAAAATTTATAATGAAAAAAATCGATATCTCATACAAATCGTAGCTTGGACCTATGTAGAAACCACCAGATTTAGAAATTTTCGGACTTGGATCCAGCCGAGGTGCTCTATATATATATATTCTCTTGATGTAAACAAAATATATGCTGAAAATTTTAATTTTATTATCTAAAAAAGTTTTCTCATCGATGTATATATTCATTACCAAATAAAACACGAATAATAAAAATTGACTCGTTTAAATTAAATAGAAATAATAATAAATTATATACAACAAGCAGTCGTCAACTTTATCGTAATCATCCATTAATAATTGCTCTTGATAGTGAACATTATTACTTACTTGAACATCCTCTTGCTAAACAATTAATGTTACGTAAGTGGAAATTATATCGTCCATTTTTTTATTTTCCACGAATATTATCTTTTTTACTTTTACTTATTTTAACATTCTATGTTCTTATTATACCTGCACCAAATATAATATCATCATCATCATCATCATCATCAAAATATATTTCATTATCTTCAATAGTTAATTTAACAATTCGATGGATTATTATTATATTATCAATAATAAATTTATTGAAAATATTCTTAGAAATAATACTTTTTCGTGGCTTACGTGTACCATTTGTACAATTATTTGGATTAATATCATTTCTTTCATCAATCATAGCTTTTATACCTTATAAAAGTGAAATAAATAATAATATTACTTCTTGGCAATGGCAATTAACATCATTTTCAATATTATTTCAATGGTTTAATATAGCTGTTATACTTCGTTCAGTACCAATGTTTGGAAATTTTTTTGTTATGATTGAATCAATATTGATGAAATTTACAGTATTATTATTTGTTATGCTTCCATTACTTATTGCATTCACAATATCAACAAAAATGATATTTTTTAATCAAGCAGCATTCATAACCGTAACAAGAGCTATACATAAATCATCATCAATGATTGTTGGAGAATTTGATTATGAAGCATTATTTTTTTCTAAATCAACATTTACAGCTGCAGTATTATTATTTATACCATTTATTGTTATAATGACTATTGTTTTTATGAATCTTTTATTAGGAATAGCAATTGGTGATATAAAAAGTTCAATGAAAAACGCACGAGCTAAAGCAAGTAAATAAAATTTTTAGTTTTAGTTTTGTTTTCTTAAAATTGAACGTTTATAGATGCTTATTGGATTCGTGAACTGATTTATATTGAATCAACATTACCAAGTAAAACATGGTTAAAACATAATATAGTCGAATACGAAAGTACTGAGCATCATTTAGAAGCTTCAATTCATAATAGTGCAGATAAACAAGATGAAAATGAAGCTTTAGTAAATCAATCATATAAAAGTGAACTTAGAAAATTGTACGATATTCTGGATATGTTATGTACACAAGCAAAACAAATTTTAGATTATGAAATTAATTTAGAACAAATGCTTAAACAATTATTAGCAGTAAAAAAAACTTAAAATTGAGTCGGAGCATTTTCAGACAGACTTTTGATTGTAAAATAAGAATCAACATTATAATTAAAGATTTAAGCCAATGCATTGATCGTCAATGGCTTGAAGTTTTCAATGGATCGTTTTTTTTTTTAATTATTTTAATTTCAAGAAATACTGAAATGAAAATGGCAGAAAATGATGAAAGAGAACTGACGGTGACAAAACAGGGAAAGGAGATTGGTTAAAAACAGATCTTAGATTTGAAAATTTTTCAAAATCAAGCATATATTTTTGTATCACAGCAATGGTAGCAACGTCTTAGCCAATTAACTTATACCTTTAACTATGATTTCTCTTTTTGTATCGATTTTCTTTTAATAAAAAAAAACTTAAAATTATGACATCAAGAATAGTTCAGATAGTCAATCTCAATTTTTATGAAAAATATCTTAGAATTTTCTTTTGTATAGAAAAAACTATTCTGGAGCCTGCTTCGAAAAATGAAAGTGTAAACCTTTTGATAACTCATTAATTGTTCGAATGCAGGCGGCGCGAATCTGGATCCTTCGCAAAGCTTTTATAAATATGACCTATTGATTATTTAATGGAATGAGATACATAAATATTTGTGTGGTTAAGATTACATACATTTACTGATGATTATTGGTTGTCCCCAGTGATGTCCTACACGAGTGCCTCGTACAACCTTGAAAAATTTCGTTTTTTTCTTGTGAAGTTCTAGCGTTTTATTGTTTGTTTATCCCTGATTGTCTCTTGTAGACGGAAAGAAATCATCATAAGATTCAATGAGTCTGAATATTGGTCAATTCAATATCATTTTTCGAAAAGAAACAAAATGGTGTCTCACATAACGGTAATCGTTCAAGTGTAACGCCTGTAAGAAAGATCTTGATGGAATGATCGCATTTCATGAATATTATTCAATCTATATTTTGACACATAACGTTAGACATGCCACAAGTCAAACATCTCCAACATCCATGCACATTTTTCTCCTCTATCTTTCTGCTGTCGTACACTGGCGTATAATATAGTGAAGAAAGTTGTTCCAAAATAGTTAGAATAAAATAATATGCATATAATTAGCCACAGTGGGTAAATCATGTTTCATATTTTAATCCTATATGGAAGGTTGAAAATAACCGAATAAGGTCGAAATTCTCCTATTGTTATATATATCAAAATGAAAAGTGAATTTATCGAAAAAATACACTTTTCTTTTTTTTTTTTTTTATTGATATTTCACTTAATCTCAAGGCATATACTTATCTTAATCCTAAAGGTATTTTTTTATATTATTTATTTTAAGTATGAATATTGAATTTAGTAAGATGACGTAGTTCTTCTTTTTCTGCTTTATTTTTTACATATTTTCAAATGATATTTTTATCAATCTGTAACATTCCATTTCATTGATATATATTTCTCAGCATCTGTTCTCTTCATATATGAAATATTTCGTTCGAATAATAGTATCTATCAGACAGTCAGACATAATTTTCTTTTTCGTGTAAAAAAAAACTATTATTTTATGTCTTCTGTACAAAAGAAGCAAAAGTAAGTATTCATAATCTTTCATAAATATATTCCATTTTATATGAATCAATAGTATTTTTTTGTTTTTGCTTCATAACTGATTGAGAATATGAATTAGTGACCTTATATTGCAATTAACATCAGTAAAACAATCTATCGTTTAACAGTTGAAATGAAGAAAAAGACGCTTTTGCTATAATTTTCCTTCAGAGGTATGATCAATTATTTAATCGAATAAAATACGTTACAGATTTTCAAATCACCTTTCATTATTTTAACAATCTTGTTCTATGACATAAACAATCTCTTGCGGCTTTTTTTGTTGACAAAAATTTAATGAATTTTTTGTGGTACAATTCCAAAAAAAAAAGAACGAGAAACAAATATATTGAAGGGATTTGTGGTTGTCACGTGTTTCTCAAGGTACCCGACGACTACATCACCATTAATCAACAAAACATTGCTATCGGTTGTTTATATATATATATATATTTGCATGTTAATACTATGTTGTTTTTGCCTTTTTTATGTAAAGAAAATGAAGAGTGTTTTTCGAGCGATTACGAGCTTTTTAATAAATTTTGTCAAAATCCACGTAAGTCTTCAAGTAAAATTGTATAAGTTTGATAATTTACATAGTGGCATAACCAACAATGACCTAGGTCGAACGTTGTCCTTCCACCGATAGTCTTTCCTCTGCCACGTATCGTTTTCTGGTATTGCCTGATACATATTTACATAACCCTTTTAATAATTTAAGATTATTTTGAATATTTTATTATTTTTAAAGAATCATTGTGGTACTTTACTGGGGAGTGTTCTATGCTTGTCAGAGGCGAAAACTATAGTTCTATACATTTAATTCAATGTATTCTTTTTTTGTTTTTATGTATACAGATTCTCAAAGAAAATCTAATGAAAAAGGATATTCGTTTAATTACATTTGGTTCTTCGGTGCAACGTAATAAACGATTTTTTTTTCTTCCTCGTGTTAAAAATGAAAGAGAAAATTTTTTTTATGGTCTGATAATGGTTGATCAACCATCATCTTTGATAGAAAGATGTATGATTGAAATTTCATCCTACTTTTAAAAAGAATATATACTATATAGATTTTTTTATCTATCATGCTTAAATAATGCTTCTCAATCGTTAAAAATGAATGAATCGATCCATCAATAGATTTCTGAGAAGACATTAGTTATGCTGAATGAGACTGAATTTTTCTTTTTTTCTTATTTTTATTGATTGCTTCTATTGAATATAAGATCACTAGCTGCAAGAATAAATTTGACCGTCATCTTAATGATCATCAAAGATTAATTCAGTCATTCAGTTTTTTTTTTGGGTGACTATTGAGATGATGCAATGAAAGTAGCATTTTGAGAACTGTAATGTTTCATTTATAGAGTTGCATCTGTCTGTAATATATAAATACAATGATGAAAATAAGGTACTTATAGACGACTAATATATTGTAGAGATTGTAAAGAAAGTTTTCAATTAAGTCAACTAGAAAAAAAAAATAATCAATAGTACTTTATGGTAGTAATAGTTGCATACAAATTCACATCAATAAGAATAATTGAAACTAATAATAGAACAGAATAGTTTCACATGAATGATTAACAATTATTGTAAGTGACAAAAAGATTTATTAACACCATGTTTTGTTTGTAATTATTGAAAACTAAATGTAGGAAAGAAAGTAAGAATGATAATTTATGTATACGAAGATTAAGAATGAAGGATGTCTCGATGTTAATAACTGAAAAATACCAAACAATACAATATGATTATGAATAGCATGATTGTATAATATTTGTTACATGATTCATAATAAAACAAGAGAAAAAAGCAAATGATATCAAATAATTAAGGAATGATAATGATAAAAAATTTAGTTTACAATCAATATCTATGTATTGAATTCTTTTCAATTAGAAATAATATATATTTTGTTTACATAATCGTTTATTTATCATGCAGATGATAGTCTATATGACGTAATCGAAATGCATATAGCACTGCTTTTTTAAATATAAACTATAGAACTATAATTATAACTATCAAACACAATGACCATCTGATAATTATAATTCATGACTAAACATATATGTATGTGTATATGTCATGGATTATATTATTACTTTTGAGGTAACTTTCAATGAACGTGAGAGTAAAACCGTTATGAACGACAAATAATCATGTGTTTTAACTATACTACTTCAAAATATATATACGTAGATGTTATGAAACATTCATGCAATTTTATCGAGAACTTCAGTGTTTATTGAACACACATGTAAACATGAAAAAAAAAATATTAATCCACAAAAGCTCTTTTACGTGATTTTCTTTGGTAAAGATAACGAATGCATCTATGTTGTGGTACTTTCGCATATGTAAGTAATACACACACCGTAACTATGTATTTGTCTATATTGTCGTAATAGAATTCAATGGTAATTAATAATTATATTTGAAAAAGTTTAACTAGATTTAATATTTGTCCCTGAAAAAATACAATTGTTTGTGTGATTTCAATTTTGTCAATGTCATTTATGGCAGCTTTTTTATTTCAAACAGTAGTCATATAACTTAATCTATTATAGTAATTTTTAAAGATTAAAATCGCAATCAGCTGCATTGCTTCAGTTTTTTTTCTTTCTTATTGTAATTTGAAAATTTATTTGCGTTTATATTCTAATTATGTAAGGTGTAGAATATATGCACGAGATGAAGGACATATTTCGTCATAGAGAGATAATTAGACGTTAGGTTATTCAATGCATGATGTATAATCATTATTTTGTTAATATTTCTCCTTTGTATAGGTGACTAGACCTGTTTACTGGAGCTATTTTTATCTATTTGTATGCATCTTCTAGGTAAATTAATATTTGTCTAATCAAAAAAAAAGAAATTCAATATGTACTATCGACATACGGCTTCATCGTATCGTTTAAATAATGCACCAACATCTAGCCTTTTTAAAAATAGTGATTTCATATGGAACAATTCTAATGAACTCGATTTAGTTCAAATGAAGAAATCATCCCTATTGACAACAACATACAATCAAAGTTCTTTTCTTCAAATTTTACCCTGTATACGTCGCTTATATACTATATTTGATTCTATATGTCCAAGTATATATCGTATACATTGTTCTGATTCATTAAGAATTTTAAATGAAATCATTTGTCTTACTGACGAATATCTTCATGTAACTCCATCAACAAAAATAACAACAAATGAATTACTTTTTAATGACTATTATTTTGATGGTTTTATATCAAAATTAAGACGTCCATCATTAATTCGTAAAAATTATTATTCATCAATACGACCTGATTTATATTGTTTTGGTCAAGGTATTCATAGAAATAATTTTAATAATCAACTTAATCAAACAATATTATTTTGTTTTGAATTAACCACAAATACAATAGCAACAAATAATT